TTATCCACCGGGACCGCTCCTGCCTCCTCCGGACCCCCTCCCGCGGCGTGCGAGGGAGGGAAGGAGGGAGGCGGCTCTTTTCGGTGGGGCTTCCCCCGCGCCGGGAGTTTCGTGTCCGTGCAGGGGGTGCGGCCGCGGACTGGAGGAGGGAGAGAAACGAAAGGTTTTGAAGTCCCCTTTTTTTTTAGCAACACTCGTCGCCCCGATTAATGCCCGTGCTGCTCTGCCGCGGCTCCCTAGAATTACCTGCGGAGTTTAACGAGAGCGGCGGTAGTAGCGCCGCAGATCCGGTCCCGGGAGGAATTCCACTCGCGCCGTGTCCGTAGTAGCACCTGAGGGGCGCGCACCCAGGAGGAATGCATGAAGGCCGGTTAGCTCAGTTGGTTAGAGCGTGGTGCTAATAACGCCAAGGTCGCGGGTTCGATCCCCGTACGGGCCACTCCCTTTTCTTCCCTGAAGGCGAGGAGATGGCCGATTTAGCAGACTACTACTTAATTTTATTTTAGTGGCGGATGGTAACACGGAAGTGAACACGGTGGGCCCCGGCGGGAAGCTTGACTTGGGCGATCAGGCGGCGACAGCGACCTTGATCCGACGCGGGACATGCCCCCACGCCGCCCGGGCGCAGGGACAGCCGTCACCCGCAGCTCAGGAACCCGCGACAGGTGAGGTCGTAGGCCGTGGTGGCGGAAGGGGAATGCCGGACATCCCGCTCCTCGTTAGTATAGTGGTTAGTATCCCCGCCTGTCACGCGGGAGACCGGGGTTCGATTCCCCGACGGGGAGGTGGAGCTGTCGTTTTTTCCTCAGGCAAGGGGAAATGAGACTCGGCGTCCCTTTGCTTTTCCCCTAGACGTTCCTCGACTGGGTTTGTGCCGAGAGTCAAAAGAACAATCATTCCGGGGCTGGGAACAGTGTGAAGTGCTGTTTAGAGACCCTGGGGGCAACGGGCAACACCTGATCCATCTCTGACCTCCTCGGCAAAGGAGCTGGCCTGAGGCAGGGGTGTTATCCTGTCGTGACCACAGCTGACATGCTCAATGCTGAAAGATTTTCTCCTCAAATGGACAGCCAGCCTTCCCCTCTCCTCAGGTAACATGGTGCCCCAACCTGGACTCTCCCAGATACTGATCAGCCAAGTCATGCTACTGCAGCATCAAAATACATGTGATTAAGTACCACCTTTTCCACAACTTCCTGAAAGCAGAGTTTAAGGTTTAAAATCATATCAAATATTCCCTTTATTCTTTACAAAAATGTGTTTAAGCATCCAAACATTTTCTAAGGGTAAGCAGTGCTATTTAGGCACAGATAATGCTTTCATTTCACTGGGAGAACACTTCACAGTAATTTGCCATTTTGCAGTCAATCACATGAGTTGAGAAAGTCCTAAAACATGCACAGTAGCCCTGTGAGGCCATCACCAGTCCTTCACAAGGCAACAGCAACAGGGGGTGACAATATTAGCCCATCAATCGAAAAGAGTGAGTTCACGTATTTGCAAGTTGTAACAAGTCTACAGCATAAGTAAGGCACCAGGCAAGATATAAATAGACACAATGAAACGCCATGCAACAGCAGTGCGAATGAACTGGTTCGCAGGCGTTCCCGTTCTCTCAAATGGCTCAGTGTGAGCAATCCATCTTCTTCATGATCCGTGTCAGTGCACCCAGTCTTTGGGATTTCGCAGAACCTCCAGGATTTCTGCTTCTTTGGAGCTCTCTGGCGGGGTGTGCATGTACTCCCACCTGCAGGGAGAGGGGAAACTCACTCAGACTGCCCAGCTGGCTGCCACCTCTCCCGGACCAGGCAGTGTTTGGACTGAAGTTGCCTTTTTTGGGCATGCAAAGCTAAATACACAGTTGATACTCAGCTCAGGAGACAGATATGTAAGTAAGTTCAGTAAAAACAAATATTATCAACACCGGGGAACACAGGAAAAATGTTAGCTTCATCTTTTTACCAACTTCTGAAAAAGCTGAAAGAACAAGGAAAAAGGGAAGAGCAATGCCCCCGTGCCCCAAAATGCATGCAGGTTGATTTGCAAAAATCTTCTAGCAGTCTCTTGTGACATACTAACATCCCAAGGAAGATGAGTAGAAAAGGAACCCACAGAATTTTCACAGTGAGGACACAAGATTTAGGTTTTCCAGAATATGGACTGGAAGCTCTACAAGTCCTTGTTGAATCTTGGTTTTAAAAACAAAGGTGATGAAAGATCGCTTTTTTATTGAAAAGGCAATTAAAAGAGGCGTGACAGAGAAAGCATCAGCAGTCAGAGATGGGTACATCCTCTTTCCATTTTTTCCCCAGGAAGGAACCATTCATGCTGTGAAGCAAGCTATTTACACTGATGAAAACAAGCAAAACCAGATCATCCTAGAAACGAAATCAGAAGATAGGAGTGTGCTACACCACCAGGTCAGGGACTCATGTAGTGTTGGCAGTGGGATGAAGGTATATGGTGAGAAAAGGACTGCCTTCATGGTAAGGGGTAGCAGGCAAAGGGAGGAAGGAGGTGGAAGGAGGTCACTAGTAAACTTTACGGAATTCATGATAGGGTCTGTGCTACTCAGTGTTACCTAAAAGCAACCTGAAAATGGGGGTAAACAGTAAGTGACTGAATTTCCTGATATTGCAAGAGTAAGCAAGATGGGTTAAAACAAAAAAAGCCGTTGAAAACAGTTAGTATTAAGCCAAGCAACAGAGCAATAAAATGGCAGGTGAAATTCACTGTTGATGGTGTGAAGTGATGGACACAGAAAAAGCTGTATACAGATTGACTTAAATTTGAGTTCAATTTTATTGCCCAGAAAAGACTCTCGCATTGTAACAGTTCTATGAAAAAGCCAGCTTAATGCTGAGCAGCAGTCAAAACCAGCAAACAGAATACTAGGATTATGAAAGGAATAATGAATTAAAACTTCATTATGCCACTGTATGATCTTGGATACACATATGTATCTTATGGTGTTGGTTCCTTATCCCTAGTTCAGAAAGGGCACAGAAAACTTAAGCCTAGAGAAAGTGGCAAATGTGATCAAAAGGATGGAACAGTGACTGTACAAAGACTAAAAATACCAGGAATCGTTAGCCTGGAAAACTGGCAATGAAAAAACAGAAGTTTGTAAAATAAGAACAGTTATGGAGAAACACAACAGCAAGAAAATCATGTTACTCAGTGAAAAATCAAACGAAGCCATCAGAGGCAAGTAGAAAACGAAGAGGCACTTTTTCATACAACACACAGTTAAACTATGAAGCTCCTTGTCACACATTTGTCAGGACTGCCAGAATCTCACATGATTTCAAAGAGCTACTAAACAAAAATCCATGGAGCAAGGAGAGAAAAATCTATCAAGAGGTACTAAGCAGAAAAACCATCCATTTTTTTTGTCAGAAAATATCTCAGCCACACACTACTGGCAACTAGCTGAGTGTAGGAGATCAGAGAAGCATCTGCATGTATTTGGGCAGTTCTTGTATCAGGCATGAACTAGCCACTGTAAAGTGATGGGACACCACGACAGACCTTTGATTTAATCCTATTAACTATTTTAATAAGAACAGTAACCTACCTGCAGTCCCACATAGCTACACCCTTACCTTGCAGTCAGGGGCAGAGACATAAGAATGCTTTCAATCCTTGATCCTGGTGTCAGGAGGCCAAACTTTGTACCTCTGTCATAAACCAAGTTGAACTCTACATACCTACAGGGAGTGAAGAGATGCAAAGAAAAAACAAGTTTATTAGCAGAAGTTGGTTGTGCCTTCTTCAACTAGCAGATAACAAACAAAACCAGCCTATCTTTCTGCTGTGTTGGGTGTCAGAATGAACCCTGTTTTGGAGTGAACTGTTCTTCAGCATCCTCTGCAGGAATGCAATTATCACCTTGCCACTCCACAAAGCACAGGGAGTAGTGACCTTGGCAAACAGACTAGAGCAGACAAACTGTTCAAAGGAGAGCATTCTGCAGGCTGCTGTACTGTGCTATGCTTCTCCCAGGCCTCAACCCTGCTGACAAGCTCGACACCGTGTTTACCTTGGTTTTCTCTTTTGTGTGGTGGCATCAGACATAAAGAGGGGCCTTAAAGGAACTGAGAATAACCAGAGAAAGAATTCTACTGTGCAGTCCTCTATGCTGAAGGACACATAAGCAGTAAGGTCTGAACAGTATTTTTTGTTTCTTGGGGAGATCTGGAAAGAAGCAGAAGTCAAACAGCTTCAGAGTGCTGGCTAGGAGTTGTAATATCAAAATATACCACTTTTCTGCCCACAGTATAGGAACAGAGCAGTGACAATTCATCAGGGATTATCTTAGTAGCTAGTACAGATGTGTTAGTATTTAACAGAGATAAAGGAAGGGAAGAGTTCTTACCTATCTGCAAAAATGGAAAGCTTTACCTAGCCAAACAACCTGCAAACAGACACAGGGAAATAGGCAGGCCTCAAGAGCTGGTTCTGGCTGCAGCTTAAAGAAGCTGTTCCCCCTTATAAACTTAGCAAGTTTGCTAAATCCCATCCACAGACTGGATCCTGGAAGCCCCACGTTCCCAGGAACGGTCCCACCAAATTAAGGACACTTGCTTATCTGACTAATGGCTGCAGGCCAGTGATCTAAACTTAAATGCTTATACTCTTTCCATGCCAGTATCACAGATTTCTCTGCAGAAGAGACAGAAACTGAAGACCCTACTCCTGCACAAAGCATGTGTGTTCTCATTTTTCCATGTGCTTACACAATCACAGGATACAGGGAACGGAGTACAACTGTATTGACCAGTGTACTTAAGCTTTTGCAACATTAACAGCTGGTCACATTAGAAGCATCCTCCAAAGTCTTTTAAGTTACAGCAACTTTGGACCATGCCAGAATAAAAAAACCCAACCCTCTGTATCTTTACTCCTTTACAGGAATCCTCATTTCAATGCCAAGATCAGATGGAACAAATATGTATGTAAGAACGTGAAGGTACTTGAGCACAGTTACTTCTTGACTTTGTGAAGTTTTGTTTCATTACTGAACAGGAAGCACAATTCCCTCACCCTCAGGCTCCTCATGTGACAAGGGTAGTCCTATATCCCATATGATTGGGCCGCAGGAGAGGGCTGGATTCAGGACACCAAGCACACCCATACCCCTTTGCCGGTTGCACAACAGCAGCTTCTCTTGGTTTTTGAAAGAGCTGGAGAAAAACTGTGGCATTTTGTTTGTGTTGCTTGTATTCTAACATGGGAAAGTGGGAAATACAGATAAGGGCGTGCTACTACCTTCTTTGCACCCCTTTTGGCAACTTAGCATTGGATTTCAAAATTAGTTCTGTGCACAAAAATGCTGAAATTCTCTGATGAACTTTTTTAGCCCACACTACAACAGGACATTAACCTGTAACCATAAAGAACTAGCTCAGTTTTTTTCTTGCCAGCATAATCCACCTCCTGTGTATTCTTTAGCTCCTTCAGTACTCACCGTCCTCTCCGAAGCTGCTGCCATAGCTTTTCCTCTGGCGTGAAGGAGTCATGGCGGTGCTTTTTCACAATGGGAATGTAACAAGGCACAACAGCTTTGGCACAACTCTTCACAAACTGGAACACTTCCTCCTTGGAGGGAGAGTCCACGTCGTCAAAGAATATGCCTCCAATCCCTCTTCGCTCGCCACGGTGCTTGATATAGAAGTAGTCATCACACCTAGAAGAAGTACCAGATGTTTATTAATATGGTCCACAGTATTGAAAGCAATGAACAGAACTCCAAACAGCTATGTGGCACAGGACTAGCACTGACCAGAAGTCAGTTCCTGCATTGCCCAGTGCCCCACTGTTTTACTGACTACCGAGAGCCAGGATGGTGCAGCACCCTCTGGAAAGCACTCCTGTGTCACTTGCAGTAAAGCTCTGATTAGACGGTCTCTGCAAAGCTACATGTCACCACACAGTCACTGAACAGTAACACTCAAACACTATGGCAGCTGCATCCACATGGAGTGATCCAATCCATATCCCCTACCTACTCAGAACAGGGTCACCTGATCTCAAAACTTCGCCCTAAGAGCTCTTGCTAGATTTCATTCCCAGCGTTATATGCAGATCCCAAATTATTTGTACAGCTTTCAGTTTAATTCAGACTTGGAAGGGAATTTCTTTATTATTTTTGCCATTCTAGTAAAAGAATTGATTTTCTTCATCAAAACAAAAGGGATCTAAAAACCTAAGACCAGATAAGAAAGCAAGTGTCATGGCAGCCTTCCTTGGAAAAAGGCTTTTTAATAGTTAAAACCTGTAAGATTGAGTCATCATAGCAGTGGCTTTTCATGGCTTATGTTCAAGTTTATAAATGTGTAAGGGCAGTTTATTCTACAACAGAAAGGCAATTAATCTCTTTTGTATTTACAGGGGGTATGTAGCTGTGCAATTACTATATATAAATGATTCATTGTATCCACACCCTATCTCGCTTAGAGTTGCTTTATTGGGCAGTCATGCCCTGAAAGTCTTCATATAGAAAAGAAATGGAAAGAAAATAGGAAGCAGAAACCATCAACATTAAGAACACCTTGCCTTCTTTTAGAACTAGTTTTCCATACATGTGTCCATCCTCAATCATTCTCAAGCAATATATATGGCATGGCCAAAGCAGAAGAGACATGGAGATGTAACTGCTAACGTAAGTTATTTTTTTATTCACTGTGATGATCAGCTTTTTTATTTAATGGCAGCAGGAAGAGTTAATAAAAAGGCTGAGTGAGAAATGCAAAAAGAGAACAAGGCTGACAAAAGTCTTAAACCTAGATCAGGAAGACAATGTGGTAAATGTAACAATAGCTTTTATCTTTGAGAAAGGTGGGAAAAGGTCTCCGACCCCACCCCCACCCCACAGCTGCCTACTTAGGCTGCAGACGACCTGACCATTAAGGCACATACTCTGAACTACCATGCAAAAACTCCTCAGAGAACAAGACTGTAATCTCAAGGCTCTAAGTTGTATCTCCTTATTAAGTGGTTGCCACCCAAACTATAACACCCACTTTATCTCCTGTCCTCAGAGGAGACCTAGTGCCTTACAAAAGGGTATCCCCTCCTTCCTGGATACCACAGCCTGTGGCAGATAGGATTATCAGACACAGAGCAGCAAGCCGCCGCTTACTAGTGAAGGATCAGATCACTTGTATCTCTTAGCTCAAGAAGAACATTCAAAGTTTGCATCTTAGAGAATATGCTGTTGAACTCACAGTGAATTTTTCACCGGGGAAAAAACTACAGCTTCATCTAAATTATGACGCTTCTACATTAAGGACAATCTCCTTTACTTACCTGGAAAAAAACCAGAAAAACAAAACAGGCCATGATGGTCAGAGTGAAGACAGAAAAATCTGAGTGGGATTTTCAGAACCACAACGCTGGCCCAAGAGCTCACACTGAATCATGCACATTTACCATGAGCTCACTGTAAGCACGATTTGTGCAAGTCCACGGGGAAAAAATCTTGTCCTAGTTTAACACTAGAGGTTAAAAGGAATTTTTAAGTTGCCTAGTGAAGTCTGTGGCTTACAACCACTCTTGTAGAGTCAGCCTGGTTTTTATTTGGGCTATAGACTTATGATCCTAGTTGTCAGCCCCCTAATTTGAAAGGGCTGACAGGCTTCTGTAAATAAGAGATTTCTTCAGACTACATTTTGTCCCAGTACACTTCCGCTAATTTTTCTTAGGGTTTGCTGATACTTTTTAAAAGGCAGCAGAACCTACAGTTCTTAGAGTACACTTAACTGGCAACATCTAGTGCTGCTTTCTACTCCCCCCCAAGTGCATCTCTCCCCACATACCATTTCTTGTACTTGGGATACAGCTTCAGATCATGCTTGTCACAGGCTTCTTTCAGAGTCTTGTGAAAATGAACAGCATCCTCTTCATTCAGGTAAGTTGGAGTGAGATCAGTCCCACCACCAAACCACCACTGCTTAGTTCCTATAAGAGAGGAAAGCAGCAACATTTTTCTTTTACACTTCTAAACAGCAAGGTTCACGTAGCATTAACAACTACTTTTAAAATACAAAACAAAATCATTATTCAGTGGTGCCCCTAAACCTCGGTCATGAAAAATTTGACTTCAAGGTAGTGAACTTCCATTTCCAGTGACTTCAGGAAAACATGAAAGACATTTCAAAGCAGTTAAAACCAGTCATTCAGTATTTTGGACCACTGATCCACAGAATATCAGTTTCACAAGATGGGCTGGCAACTCTTATTCAAGAATGCAGAAACATTTTACTGTGTGCCAAAGAAAGGGAACATCATTATTACATCCAGGGAAGTAACTGGCTAGAAATGATCCATAATGCTGTGGCAAAACAACTGAAAGAAAACTCTCTTTGAGCTTCTGACAGTACATACACTGTCACAAGATACAGATGGCCCTTCAGTGTTTGACCACCTAGACAAGGGTCCCATTTCTGACAGTGCCAAGTTGCAGAAAGTTGGGGAAATAAGGCACAATGCAGTCAGTGAGCAGTGTTTCTGACAGTACGTCCTTCCAGCTGCTGAGACAAAGGCACATCATGACCAGAATGTTTATCAGCCCTTCACAAACATTTCTCCTTCTAAATTCTAGGATTGCTGCTCTGAATGTATTTCACATTTATTTACAATCTCCTACGTTTTTAACTTCGATCTGAAACCCCCGGTATACTCTACAAAAAGCAAACCCCTTTTACTCTACCACATGCACTCGTTACACTCATTTTACAAATGCACAAAGGCCAGAGATAAGGAGATCCAATGCTAAACAACAGATTCTTGGCACAGCTGGGAACAAACCTGGACTGGTTCTTAACCTCTTACCCTAGCCATGCATTCACGCTTCCTTCATGTGAAGTCATACATTTCATACATGCTTCATTGGATTAAAATTCTTACCATCTGCTTCTTCGATTTCAAAGTATCTGTAGTTGAAGTGCATGGTTGGAACATGAGGGTTCTTTGGATGGATAACGGAGCTCACACCCATGGCGCAAAAAGGCAGCTTCCCTAGATAAAGAGATGCACCAAGAAAGCCCTTTAGTTTTTCAAGAAACTTCATTTACTATCATTTAAGGAACATTGCTATTTTTCCTTAGGTTTTGTGACAGGAAAATTTCTCATGTTGGATCACCACAATTATTAGTAAATGTGCAATTCACTTCTCATTCACGCTCTTCTGTGCACCTTTTTTTGGTATTAGTCCTAAAATGCAGCAACATGTTAGAGAACCCATTAAATGAAGACCATTTAAAACATAAGGCACTGCTAAGGGTTTCAACCACCCCCAGTCCTCACAACTGCCCTTTGCTACACAAACATGGGTTGAGTGCTCTTTACCCTTCAGGTGGTGTTGGTTCCTTCCCTTCACCTCTTTGGTACATAACTCCTGCACTGTTTCACTATTAAGCTACAGTGTCATTATTGAGAAATCACCCGTGCCTATAAGACATTCCTTAAAGCAGCGAGACGGAGGGAGAAGCACTCTGATACATGGCTTTTTAGGGATACGAAAGTCCACCTGTCAGGCTTACTGGTTAGAAATCACCTTTATACAAATGAAACCCTTTGAGCTCTGATCAGTCTGGCTTTCCTCAGGTTCTGCTCAAAGGCCGGACTGCTGAGAGTCCCGCACGGGAATACTCAGGTGAACGTGTCCCGGTTCCCTACCCCACCTCCCGGCCGGACACCTTACCGTCCTTGGCCTTCAGAGACTTCCCCCTGCTCCGCATCTGCCGCGCTGCCTCCTCGGACAGGAGCCCGGACACGACGGACACATTCACGCCCGCCTTCTCGAAGACCTCGCCGTCCTGCAGTACGCAGCTGATGCCGCCTCCGCCTGCCAAGGCCAGGGGCAGGGTCACCGCGGGGTGACCGAGCCCGGGGTGCCGGTGCCCGCGGCGTCCCCCGCGGCTTTCCCCGTACCTTCCTTCCTCTCCCAGGTGTCGACGGAGAAGGAGGCGCCGGGGTCCAGCGCGGCCAGGGCGCGGCACACCTCCGCCTGCGTCTCCATGATGAGCAGCTCCATGCGGCTCCGCAGCTCCCGCCGCCGCCGCCGCAGCTCTCGCAGCCCGCTCACGGGCGGCGCCATGAACCGCTGCCGCAGCTCCTTGTCCTCCTCGTCCTCCCGGGACGCCGCCAGCGCGGTCTGCCGCCGCCACAGCCCCAGCGCCAGCCCGAGCCCGCCCAGCGCCCCCGCGGCCGCCAGCGCGGCCCGCCGCCCTCCCCGGCCCGCCGGCCCCGGCGGCGCGGAGCTCAGCGCCCGGGCAAGAATAAGGGTGGACGGGCCCCGGACAGCCCCGCGGAACAGCCGCGCTGCCGCCGCCATGACCGGCACCGGCACCGCACGGCCGGGACGGGGCGGGACGGGGGCCGGGCCGGGGCGGGGCGGGATGGGGAGAGGCTGCGCGCCCTGTCTGTGTAGGGAATCGATTACGTGGGAAAAGACCTCTGAGATCATCGAGTGCAACCTATAACCCAACACCACCATGTCGACTAGACCGTGGCAGTAAGTGCCACATCCAGTCTTATCTTAAACACCTCCAGGGACGGTGAGTTCACCACCTCCCTGGGCAGGCCATTCCAATGCCCAATCACCCTTTCTGTGAAGAAATTCTTTCTAATGTCCAACCTGAAGCTCCCCTGGTACGGCTTAAGACTATGTCCTCTTGTTCTGTAACTCGTTGCCTGGGAGAAGAGGCCGACCCCTACCTGGCTACAACCTCCTTGCAAGCAGTTGTAGAGAGTGATAAGGTCCCCCCTGAGCCTCCACAAGCCTAACAATCCCAGCTCCCTCAGCTGCTCCTCATAAAAATTGCATTCCAGCCCCTTCACCAGCTTTGTTGCCCTTCTTTCGACCTGCTCCAGCACCTCAACTGAGCACCTTTCCTGAATTGAGGGGCCCGGAAATTGACACGGTATTCAAGGTGCAGCCTCACCAATGCACGGTAGAGGAGAAGAATCACTGTCCTGCTGGCCACACTACTTCTGATACAGGCCAGGATGCCATTTGCCTTCTTGGCCACCTGGGCACACTGCTGGCTCATACGTGTCTGTACAGGGTAGCCTGCCCTCACTGGGTGCCATGGGGCAGTGCAAGTGCCCTGTAACCATCCCGGCTGGGTGCCCCCGGAGCTGGGCTGCCTGCGCCGTGTGGATGCTGTGGCAGGGAGAGGCACCTGTAGAGAGAGTGCTGAGGTACTGCAGCCCGCCCAGCGTGGCTTTGGGAGAGCAGGTTATGCTGTGTTTGTGCCCGTGAAACGTTTCTGCGTACTGCTTTCAAATAACTCGGCAGGATCACTGCAGCTACTTGGGGCTGCATAGTCACTGTGTGAGTAAAGGCTTGTACAGGGCCAGGCATGGCTGGAATAGGGGCAGAGATATATTTTATTGAGCTATCCTGTGAACCATGTGGAATTGCTCTCCTGCGTGTGGCATTGCTGGTTTTAGAAATTTAGAAACAATTTTTAGAAATTTAGAAACTCACAGATTTTAGAACCTGACTACTTTGTGGGACCACCAGTTTCGTGCAAAGGGAATATTCCCCATGGATCTTAGAGGGCACATGCTTATACCTTCTTTGTTTTCTCTAAAGTTGAAGCATGTTTTCTTTCCGAATAAAAGAGAGGAACTAGAGATATGTGTGCAGTCATAGGGCTTTGATCTCATTGTGATTACAGAGATATGGTGGGATAGCTTGCATGATTGAAATGTTGTCATGAAGGGCTACACACTCTTTAGGGGAGGCAGACCAGGCAGGTGCAGTGGTGGAGTTGCCCTCTATGTGACACTTGGAATATATCGAGCTCTGTCTTGGGGTGGACAATGAGCAAGAGCTTATGGGTTAGGGTAAAGGGGCAGACTAGTAAGGGTGACATCATTGTGGGTGTTTGCTACAGGCCTCCTGGTCAGGAGGAGGAAGTTGAAGAGGCCTTCTACAGGCAGCTTGAAGCAGCCTCACAGTCACAGGCCCTGGTCCTGGTGGGGGACTTTAACTACCCTGACATCTGCTGGAGAAGCAACAGGTGACAAAAATTATTAAGGGACTGGAGCATCTCTCTTAGGAGGAGAGGCTGAGGGGGGTGGGTCTGTTCAGCGTCAAGAAGAAATGGCTGAGAGGGGACCTCATTAATGTGTATAAATATCTAAAGAGACGGTTCCAAGAGGATGGAGCCAGGCTCTTCTCAGTGGTGCCAAGCAATAGGACAACAGGCAATGGGCAGAAACTGATGCACAGGAAGTTCCACTTTACTGTGTGGGTGCCTGCACACTAGACACTAGGTTGCCCCGAGGGGCTGTGGAGTCTCCCTCACTGGAGATATTCAAGAACAATCTGGAAGCAATCCTCTGCAATGTGCTGCTCTAGGATGACCCTGCATGAGCAGGGAGGTTGGACCAGATGACCCACAGTGGTCCCTTCCAACCTGACCCATTCTGTAATTATGTGAAAATAAGAATTCAGAAAAATAAAGAAAAGGGCTATGTAAAGCCAGATGTTGAAAGGTACTTCATAAAAAGGCCCAGGCCTGCAAGGTTTGTACTCTGGTATGGGACTATTCCTTGGACACAGTGAGCTTCTGGCATTTCAGGACTGATTTGCACCTGTAGTACCCAAGAGTAGGTCAGTTTCAAAAGTGGCTCTGTGGAAAGCATGGAGATTGATCCCTGTTGCAGATCAGGGCTTCATTATCTGCCTCTTTTCATTGTAGGGTAACTGGGGGGAGTGTCTGTCTGTATAAAGCGATAATGTTTGCTTGAAGGCTCAGTCTGTTTTCTCATTTCTGATCTGATTCTGCTCTTTGGCAGCAGAGGATGATGCGAAGCTGCTGAAGTGCTGCAAGGAGGAATGGAAGATCTCTGAGTTGTGCTCTCTTCTGCCAACATCTGGAGGACAGGATCCCTGATGAGCCAGGAAACCTGACCCACTGGAGGTAGGAGTGAAGGAAGGAATGTGTTGTTATTTGCAGAAGAGATCTGTGGCTGAGGGAGAAAGGCACCATGACCCTTGGAGCTTTGGCTGCTCTAAGCAGGTCTTTAAACCATTCTTTATCCAGGGCTGGCTGTGATAGCTCAGTTTCTTCTTGAATTGCATCTAGTGGATTTATCAAAACACTTTCATGATAGTGTACATTGTGTACTTCTGCTACTTACTGTAGTAAAGCTCTGCTCTTTGACTGTGGTTCTTAGATGCTATGGAAATGAAAAAAGTAAATAAATGCTGAGGCCAAGACACGTAAAACACATTCATGCTGATTTAGTGTGTTGGTAGGTTTTTTCTGTATTAGACTGAATGCAAGCTTTGATTGATAACATCTGGTAATTCAGCTGGGTGGGACCTCTGGAGGTCTGTAGTCCAACCCCAAGGGTTCACAGTTCCCAGGCTGGATGAGGTTGCACAAGACTTTCCTTGTCCAGCTGCATTTAGGAAACCTCTTTCCTCATTTTTTTCTGGGCTCCTGCCTCAGCACTCCACCACTCTCCCTGGGAAGAATTTTTTCTCATATCTAGTGAGAATTTCCTTTGCTGCAAACAAGTTGTCAGATCAGTGTCTTACTCTTGCTGCTGAAGCACAACTTCTTTACAGCCTAGTCAGGCTACACTCACTGGTGGAGGTGAGGAGGAGTGACAGAGTGTAAGACACTCCTACTGTTTCTGTGCTGAAGCCTCTCACATTAGCTCCTTGTGAGGACCTCCTCTATAACAGCACCTTAAGATGGAAACTTCAGCCAAATGCCATGTACTTTCACTTTGCAGCAGTGGAGAAGGTGCAATAAGCAGACAGTGCATCAAAAATGGCACCATGCATAGGAGATTGTTTTTGTAGCCCTATTTATATGTGTACAACCAAATTGTGCTGGCAGGTGAAAAGTAGCATTGTAGAGAGTAGTTCAAGCCACGTTTTTCACT